ATGATTTTTGAAGCACTAAATGATGAAACAATGAGAGAAGATAACACAAAAATTGGATATAATAGACTCCGTAAAGGCATAAACTAAAGTGTAAAAGTCCAGGAAAGAAAAACTAAAGTATTTCAAGGTACTTCAAGGCTAAGGTAGCGAGGGAGCCATGTGCAAGCAAGACAACCTTTGCATTCCGACACGTGTGATTGGGAAAACGGTCGATTCATATCTCTACTGTTGTATATGGTGTCATTACGCATATATATTCATGATCTGTGCGAATACATACTCGTACCTTGTTTTAATTTAAAATCTCTATCTAAATAATTATATTTGTGCTATTACATATTTTGACTAATACTCCGTTAATCAAACCGTTATAAAAAAAAAAGAATTATCGTTTTGTATATATTTTTTTACCAAACGATATCGTTTAGTTTAAAAGCATTCAGGAAAAACAAAATCCTAAAACCACGTCGTTTTAAACCAACATTTTCTTCTTCGTCTTTCATGAATCTTTTGCATCTGTATGTAGGGGTGGAACGGATCCGGATATCCTAGAATTTCAAGGTATCCTGATCCGGATCCGGAATCGTCGGATCCGTAAAAAAAACTATCCGGATCCGGACTCGGACCTCTGGATATCCGGACTTTGGATATCCGGCCAAAAAAACGGACATCCACGGATATCCACGGAAATTAATATTAAAAATAATTAAAATAATTAAAAAAATAAATAAAAATATATTTTTAAAAATTATTAATTAATATTTTAAATGATATTTTTCATTATAAATATAATTTATTATAAAAAAAAACTAAAACAATTTATATATATATTTATATATATAAAATTAGCTTAATAGATATATAATATATATTTTTTAATATATTTAATACGTCTGGATCCGGATATCCGGACCTTAAAATTTTGTTATCCGGATTCGGATCTTCTTTTCACGGATCCTAGATTTTACTATCCTTATCCGGATCCGGACTCCCCGAATATCCTAATTTTCGGAGTGATTCCGAACGGATAACGGATCGGTTCTCGGATCCGGATAATAATTCCACCCCTATATGTAGGTGTCGGTTCTACATTTTCTTAAGTTTGATTTTCAATTAAATAGAAAGAAAAATTGAAAATGAATCCCACTTAAGAAATAAAGATTCTGATCAATGAATCCTTTTAATTGGATATCCAATTCGATTACAACAAATTCCTATAAAAAGTTTTGGTTAGAAATCATGCTTATGTTCTTCGCCAACGGATCTGCTCCTTATTGTCGGAAGAAAAATTAGGAACCGTCTCGACGGAGGCAGCCTATACGTTGGAATAACACGAATCAAACGAACTCGATAGTTTGATTTCAAAATTAAAATTTATTTGATTTATGGGTTTTGTGCTGGTAGTTCATGGTGAGATTTTAATGGGTTTGAGTGAGAGTTATTCATAAACTTAGATTAATCTTCGATTTTTTAATTTAATAGAAGGAGAGATCATATGAAATGGATCGTGGGTCGTGCTTGGTCTGGCGGAGAAGTTGTTGGGATGTGCTCAGATGAGTTGTTCTTGTTGTGGTTAAAGAGAGGACTAAGAGCTTGCGAAATGTTCAGAAGCAAATCGGAGCATTGGATCTAAATATTCGAGACAAATTGTGGTAAGTTTAGTTGGTTTCTCTGTTTCGATATTGTGAGAAATTTGGATTTGAGTCTTTTTCTTTGGGAAAAAGATTCGACGAAGAAGCGTGAAAGAGGAGGAAAAAGACTTGATTAATCTTTACTCCAAACGATGTCGTTTTGGAGAGTGGTTTTTGTGATACAAACGACTAAAACGACGTCGTTTAACTCAATATTTCTCCTTTTTTAATATTTTAATTGACTTAAGACCCAAGTCAGACAAAAACTAACGGATTGACTAACCGAAACTGGTCAAAGTATGCTAAAGCCGAAATACAAAAGTATGGATATGGAATTTAAATTTATTTTCTGTATACGTATGTATTTGCATAGGTCACGAGTACATATCCGTAATGGTACCGTATACAACAATAGAGGTATGAATCGGTTGTTTTTCCTGTGATTGTGCCACAAGTCACCTTTTACATTGATAATCTAAGATTTTGATGATTGATTAGAGCATCTCTAACCCCAATGCATATCTCATTCCAAATTCTATTTTAGAGTCAAATCTTCTCCAATTTCATTCTATTTTTAATTCCAGAATGTAATAAGTTCATTTTTCTTTCAAATATGGATTAATTTTATTTTTCATTCCGTTTTGGTGCTATAATTTTTTTATATAAAATGGTCTTTCAAGTTATAAATGATTTCATTTAAGAGATAAATAATTCTTGTGGTGATAATTTTGTAATTGTTTGATATTATTTTTGATTAAAGATTTTTAAGAATTTATCAAATCACAAGAATTTGCAACAAAATAATTATATTATATAATGATATATGAAATTTTAATATATGTGTAAATTATTTTGGTTAAAAA